CAGCCGCTGAGGACGCCCCTGCGGAGCCGGCAGCAGGTGAGACCCCCGGGGGACCCCGGCGGCCGGGACCCCCAACCCCTCCCAGGGTGGGGTAAAGGAGGGGACCCCGGCCTCTGGGACCCCCAACCCCTCCCAGGGTCGGGCAGAAGGGGGGACCCTGGTGTCCGGGACCCCCAACCCTTCCCAGGGTTAGGCAGAAGGGGGGACCCCGGCATCCGGGACCCCCAGCCCCTCCCAGGGTGGGGTAAAGGAGGGGACCCCGGCGTCCGGGACCCCTTGACCCACGCCGGGATGAGGTAGAAGAGGGGACCCCGGTGTCCAGGACCCCTCGACCCACACCGGGACTGGGGGGGGGGGACACACCCCATCCCCGGGGCCCCCGCCGCCTCCCCCCGGCGCAGCCGGAGCCCCCCCCGGCCGCCCCTACATCTGCAGCGAGTGCGGCAAAGCCTTCGGCCAGTGGTCGAAGCTGGAGCGTCACCGGCGCAGCCACACGGGCGAACGCCCCAACGCCTGCGGCGAGTGCGGCAAACGTTTCGCCCAGCGCTCCCACCTGGCCCAGCACCTCCGGACCCACACCGGCGAGCGGCCCTACAAGTGCGGCGACTGCGGCAAAGCTTTCGGCTGGAGCTCCAACCTGGCTCAGCACCGCCGCACCCACACCGGCGAGCGCCCCTACGCCTGCGCCGAATGCGGCAAAGCCTTCAGCCAAAGCACCAACCTGGTGAAACACCAGCGTGCCCACGCCGGCGAGCGGCCCTACGCCTGCGGTCAGTGCCGGAAAGCGTTTTACCGTAGCTCTGACCTCCTCCAACACCAAGCCAGCCACTCCGGCGAACGACCCTACCGTTGCGGCCAGTGCGGCAAGAGCTTCGCCCAACGCGCCAACCTCCTCAAGCACGGCAAGACCCACGGCGGCGAGAAGCCCTTCCGCTGCGGCGAGTGCGGCAAAGGCTTCGTCCAAAGCTCGGAGCTCATCCAGCACCAGCGCAGCCACAGCGGCGAGAAGCCCTTTGCCTGCGCCGAGTGCGGCAAACGCTTCGGCCACGGGGCCACCTTGGCCAAGCACCGACGGTTGCACTTGGGTTTGCAGCCGCACCGCTGCGGGGAGTGCGGGCGAGCCTTCGGGCTGCGCTCGGCGCTGGCGCGGCACCAACGGGCGCACGGGGAGGAGCGACCCTTCGCCTGCGGGGAGTGCGGGCAAGCCTTCGCCCTCCGCTCCAACCTGGCCCTGCACCGGCGGACGCATGCCGGTGAGCGGCCCTACCGCTGCGGCGAGTGCGGCAAGGCATTCGGCATGAGCTCCACCCTGGTGCGGCACCAGCGCATCCACACCGGGGAGAAACCCTACGGCTGCGGGGAGTGCGGCCGGGCTTTTGTCCGCAGCGCCCACCTGGAGCAGCACCGGCGGACCCACACCGGCGAGCGGCCCTACGCCCCCGGCGGCGCCCGCCGCTTCAGCCAGAGCTCCAACCTCATCACCCACGAGCGGGTGCACCTGGAGGAGGCCCACGGGGCGGCGCAGGCGTTGGAGGCGCACCCGAAGACCAAGACGTTGGAGGTTCAACCAGGCTTGGAGACGTTGGAAGCTCAGCCAAGCTTGGAGATGATGGAGGGGCACCCAAAGACCAAGACATTTGGGGTGCAACCAAGTTTGGAGGCGTTGGAGGTTCAACCAGGTTTGGAGGCGTTGGAGGGGCACCTAAAAACCAAGACGTTGGAGGTTCAACCAGGATTGGAGATGTTGGAGGAGCACCCAAAGACCACGAGAGTTGGGGTGCACCAAGGCTTGGAGATGGAGGAGCACCCAAAGACCACGAGAGTTGGGGTGCACCAAGGCTTGGAGATGGAGGAGCACCCAAAGACCACGAGAGTTGGGGTGCACCAGGCCTTGCAGACCGTGGCGGAGCACCCCAAGAGCCGGAGCCCCCAGGGGCACCCACGGCTGGGGGGAGGCCCCATGGTGGAGGAGACCCCCGTGGGGGAGCACCCCGAGGTGCCAGACCCCCGAGGGGCGGAGCCTATCCCGAAGACACCCCCCCCCTCGCACGACGCCATTGGCTGAGGGGTGGGTGTGGCAGGGGTGGGTGATTGGGTGGGGACAGGGAGGGGCGGGATTGGCCAAGAGCAATGATGTGGAGGGGGGGATGATGCTGGTAGGGGATTGGCTGAGGGGAGGGGGCGTACTGAGAGGGGATTGGCTGAGAGCAGGGGGCGGGACTGATGTGGGATTGGCTGTGAACGGGATTCATTGGGCGATAGCAGGGTGGGGAAATACTGACAGGGGATTGGCCAAGATCCTGTGCA